TTTTAATTTAATATCTTTATTTTTATAAGAAAACAATTTTATCTTTAAAAAAAAGAAACTTAAAAAAATTAGAAATACAAAATTAAAATACAAACTAAGAAGGAAAAGAAAAAAATCTATCTTTTATATTTATCAATAGTTACTAGTTTACCAATGAATTCACTACTATAATATGAACAATACAAGATATTATTGTAAGATATCATAGAATATCTGCTATAGTAACACATATTGCTGCATCCTTTGATTGGTAGAAAATAACCCCTTTTCCAAAACAGATAGATCACACATTTCTGACAACATTCCTTGACATCTGGAATAATATCACTTTTCCAATTTGTTAATATTCTTTTTTGCCACCCCGATGCTCCATACAACCACAATTCCTGATAAACAGTCAAATTCCTAAGCTTTGATATATAATTCAACATTACATTAACATCTGTAACATTTAAAGATTTTCCCATAAATCTACTAATATACCTTAATACACTATTCCAAAAAGATACTAAATGATCACTTGACCATATCATGTGGGTAACTGAGCCCTCAAATTTCTTACACCTTCAGCATAAAAAATATGATGTCCATCCTTTCAAATACATTCTTTGGGAGTCAGTACACCCTAAATACATTTTTTTTAATGAATCAACCTTAATCTCAAATCTGTAGATATGATTTTAACATTTTTAAGGACCTGAAGCCATTACTATGGCCTTATTGGAAATTCCAGTTCTTTAGTCCATGTTTCAAATATCCCAGAAATGTCCACTTTAAAAATATTATTGAGCTTTTGATAGAGACTTGTTTTGGGTTTAATTTCTGTAATAGATTCTATCAGGCAAGAAAGCAACTCAGGTAGCTTTGAAGCAGCCAAAGCATCTATTAGAACATGCTTAAGCTGAAGATACCTCCACTGTTGTGAATTGGGAAGACCAAATTCAATTTAGTTGGGAAAAATCCTTAAAATAGTCATTACATGGTGGGTGATTTAAAGTCATAATCCCAGCTTCCAGCCAGGTTTTCCAATAAAGTGATTTACCACCAATTTTCAAAGTAGAATTTTTCTAAAGTGTTAGATATCCATGAGTCTCACTATCAAAACTCAGTTTATGGCCCAATATGGCCCAAAGATTTCTTACCACTTGTACTCCTGGAGATAAAACAACTTCATGGCTATATGTTGTTCCAAGCACTTGCCATGATCGCAAAAGAAGTAGGTAATAACTGTTCAACTTAGCCCCTAAGAGATAATATTCCATTATATTTTCATTCCACCAGTAGGTGGCTGATAAAATATTAACCCAACAGTATTTTTGCAGATAAGATAATTAAAACCACCTTCCTATATTGTAATCACAATTTAGCTAAGGAAAATTTTGGCAGTCTACTTTCCTAAATAAATTTCCTAAATAGTTTATCAGTTGAAAGGAAATATTTTTTCAATATTAACATAGGAATACCTCTAAGAACATAAATCAAATGAGAGACAGTGTTCATTTTAATAACATTAACTTTGCCCCACTACTTTGCCCCTTTTAGAAAGGGTTGAAATGGATGTTAATAGATGGAATTTTAAGCTATCTATTAACATCCATTTCAACCCTTTCTAAAAGTTTCAACATATTTATTTCCACATGTTTGGAAATATCTTTGGGTATATAGAACCAAATGTTTAATATAATCAGTAGAAATCTTTTTACATAATTGTATTGATATATTAGGACCTGGGGAAGCAAATTAGATTTATCCCATTTATCTTATAACCAGAATACTTTTCAAAATACTGCACAACCTTTATAAAATTAGGCAGAGCAGTAGAATATTGATCCAAATTTGCCAAAATATCATTAGCATACAGAAATAATTTATACTCAAACTCTGCCAGTGTAATACCCCTAATACCCAGAGATTGCCTTACTGTGGTGGCCAAAGGTTCAAGAATCAAATTAAATAGCAAAGCACATTGTAATGGAAAACAGTCTGAGATCATTTGATTTGTTATAACTCTGGCACAAGGTTGCAAATAGTAAATCTCAATCCACTGGACAAAATCCTGTGGAAAGCCTTAAGAATTTAATCTGAACCAAATCAAAGGCTTTTTCTGCATCTAAAGAGACTAATACAGCAGAGTCCATTCTACCCTTGGCTATATCCATTGTATTAATTAGTAACCATAAATTATCTGACGCCTGACAATTTTTGATAAACTCAGACTAGGAGGAATGAATTATATCTGGTAAGACTTTCTGCAAGTGTCTAGCCAGTATGGTGGTTAAAACCTTGGTGTCCACATTAATTAATGAAGTAGGTCTATAACTACCACAAATGTAGGGTCTTTATCTGGCTTTAAAATCAGTCTTATATATGCCACATAGAATGATGGCAATTTATCATCCTTAAACGATTCATTGTACACCTCCAAAAGTATAGGAGTCAACAGATCTATAAATGCCTTATACCATTCCACTGAAAAGCCATCTGGACCAGGGGCATTCCCATTTTGCAGTAATTGAATAGAATCTAATAGTCACTGGAGTGACAGGCGCTTTCAGCATATCAGTATTATCTAACGATAACAATTGAATAGCTGCCTGACTCAGCAATTGATTAATCTCCTAATGGTCTCTCTTCTCACCGAAACTTTAAATTGACTTGTAGAAAAGTAAAAACTGATTATTAATAGCAGCAGAATCAAAAAAAGTCTGGCCGTCCTCAGTAACTATTTCAGAAAATAAGCTCTGCTGATTTTGTTGCTCCAAATGATGTGCCAGCAACTTCCCAAGTCTTTCGCCAGGCTCCCAATACTTTAATTTTAATCTGCTCAATGAAATTCTACCTTCTCAGCATAGAAGTCCCTTAACTGTAGGTTTGCTATCACAAATACTTTATAAGCCTGCTCTGTGGGCTCTTTTGCATAATGGAACAGTCTTTCTTTAACCAAAGTTTCTAGCTATTGATGCCTAAGGTTTTTTCTCATTTTTTGTTAGAGGCATAAGCAATAACATAATTTGCATACAAGCCTTATAAGACAGTTAATTTCAAAAAATTATGAAGTTAGTTGTCTAATATACCTTAAAAAGCCCTCCTCTTATAACAAAGAAAGGGAGGCTGGTTTTCACTGCTCTGTCCCCCTGTGAGCTACTGAGGAGAGAACTGCAGTGATGGGCTGGAGGTGAGCTCCTTGGCCTGTCTCACCTACAAGAATGATTGGGGGTTGATGAAGACAATAACTATCACTGCCATTTCCACTGAGTGAAGACAGGAAGAGCAGCAGAAAAAGCTAGGCCAAGAGACTGAAACTGTTCCTAAAGACCAGCTGACTAGCTTAGGTGGAAGCCAGGGAAGTAGACTGCACAGAGTTAGTGTGGTGAGAAATATAAGCTATGAAGGATGGGCAACTAAGTAGGGAAGAAGTAGGAGCCACCATCAAAGAATGTGTGATCAGATACCTCATGCAGGTCAAGTCAGAAGCATCAGGAGAACTGAGCAGGACGTACAAGTAGATAAGAGAAGATTAGATTGGACAAATGGGTGACTACTGGGTAACAGTATCCTCTAGTGAGAGGCAAGGAACACTGATGGGAACTTGTTTCCCTGCTCTCCCTGGAATGAGAGAAAAGTGGTGGGATGGTGGAGGGAGATTTTGGGCTCATGTGGCTTGGAAGCCCTTGGAAGATTGATTTTCTTAGGAAATGGTAGGGTAGGATGGATAGGAGAATAATATAGGGCATAGATTGGGGTATTAGCGTAAAAATTTACCTCTTTCTCTAAAATTACATTACTCTCTTTTTTCTATAATCTATCCTATCTAATAATCAAAACCATAAATCAGAAGTTCATTTTTTTCATTTTTATGCAAAAAGTCCACAAGGGGTTTCCAGTCACCAGGAAATGTAGATGTTGTCCTTTTTCTAACCAAAGAAGTCAGTTTGTCCATCTCAGCAAGTTCTCAATTTCACTAACGATTCCTTCAGGCTGGATAGTGCCGAATTTTTCCATCTTTGTGCATATAGTAATCTTGCCACAATAATCATATATTGAAATAATCTTCCATGGCTTTTTTCTAACT